CTAAACTAGTGAACGAAAAGGTAAATATGATAGGAGAAGGTGAATGGGGAAAATTGTGCAGTAAAGTTAAAAGTGTTGAGGAAGAATACCGAAAAAATTACCATCTGATCGACCTGATGACGGAAGCTCAAGCGAAGATGAAAGTGATGATGAAGTGCTACTTCCAGTGCCAGTGCCAGATGTTGATGGTGTGTTGGTGTTACTGGATGCTATCCAGTAACACCAACACACCATCAACATCTGGCTTCCATGTGACCCAAGACGTCATAATGGACGGCGTGTCACCCTTAGCGTAAGTTTTCTTGTTACAAACTACTTTATATTTTACGATAGAAATAACAAATAATGCTCAAGTAAACATTATCCATTTTTAATTCCCACCTCTTCCAAAGTTCTAAGTAGCTAGTAAATCACCTATTATGATTCTACAATAAAACAATTAATTACTATAATATTATAAAACAATAGCCCAATACCATGTAGTACTTTAGAACGCGACTGTACCCACACTCCCTCCGCTGTCGACCTGTATCTAGATCGGTACGAAACAATGCCGCGGTCATAAGAAAAAAGGGCGCATCTAACAATTTTTGAATAAATGAGTTAAATATACCATTCGACTCATGATAAGAAGGCGCATCTACTAATTTTTTTAATATTCACAAATATCAATATTTTAGAAATTATCGTAAGAATTTTAGACATAACTGTTGATCACAGATGACATTTTTTTAGTAGAAAAGACTTATACAAATTCAACATAAAAGAAAAGACTTATTTAACCAGTTGCTACGTCATCTTTAACAATATTTGCATCGATTACTTAAATTTCAATTATTCTTGTCTTATTATTCTATATCTTATTATTAAGAGCTGGTGTTTCACATGTGGTCCCATATAAATTTGATCGAGGTCAGACCAATAGTTTTTGAGTTATCCTTAATTATTTATATTAAAGTCGGTTGTACAAAATTTTTAATTTTTAATTATTATCGTAGTAAGTCTTGTATGATATCCCCTTTAAAATCATTACTCAAGAGTTGCGGGTTGTTATTTTTTGTGTCTCACTACCAATGCTTTTCTAATATTTACTAAGAAAAAAGTAGTAAATTACTATTAACGTCCTTTCAACTTCAAATGACCTTTCCAAAATATGTAAAAATGTTAAATGAATGGCAGTTTTTTTTTATTTATTAGGTTGGGAAGACGCAAATAGTTATATGCGTCTTTCCTTCGATGTTTTTGTGTTGCCAGGTGTATTTTTTAATCTAAGATGAAAAGGAAAATTCGTTTTATTTAAATAAATAAACAAATTATCAAAAAATAAGTTCGTCCTTAAAATCTTCATGTCTCTACGTATATTTAAATTTTCATATAGATACCTTTTAATATACTTTAGACACGGGGTCTGAAAGAAAAATTCATCAATTTATTTTTTATTTCCATTTTACGTTTTTGTTAGTTGCGTCCTTCTTTATTATGACGGCAGAATGTAACCCGGCCGACTCGTGTCGCCTCACGCTGTGACGCAGTAGGTTTCAGTTTTGTCGGGGTTTGTTATAAATTGTAGTTTTTGAAACAGTTCCGTGTTGATTTTGTACACGCGTTCGCGAACGACAGCTCAATCGTTATTTATTAAATTGTTGTTACTTGTGATTACGTGTTGGTATTATTCTTGTTGTTACGTTTTTTGCTTTAATAATGCTTAACGCGTACGTTTATAGTGATTGTGAATACGGCAACATGTTATGTATCCGAACCTAGGTACACGAAGTATCGCTAAATAAATTGTTAAGACGTCGGGATGGAACAAGTGTGTCATACTGTGCAGTGCACAAAGTGTTGAAGCGTAACCGAATGCACCCATACAAATTGCACAAAGCGCAAGCTTTAGTTCCCGGCGATCACGACCACCGACGAGTTTTCTGCCGTTGGTTATTATACCAGCAACAACGTGTGCCTGGTTCCATTGAGCACATTATCTGGACGGATGAGTCGACATTTACCAGAAACGGCCTGTGGAACCGAAGAAATACACACGTGTATTCAGAGGTTAACCCGCACGCTGTTCGACAAACCGGACACCAAACCCGATGGTCGGTTAACGTATGGGCAGGTTTATTTAAGGATCGCATACTGGGACCAGTGTTTCTGTCAGAGCGACTGAACGGACAGCGAGACCTAAACTTTATAAATGAACAGTTGGTTGACATTTTAAACGACCTATCGTTGGCTGAATATCGCCGCACATGGTTCCAGCATGATGGTGCCCCTCCACATTTCGTGAGGTTCATCCGTGAGCGCCTCAATGAGCTATTTGATGATCGCTCGATCGGCAGACTAGGACCACACGCTTGGCCACCTCGCTCACCAGATCTGACCCCGTTACACTTTTTTTGTGGGGTAGGTATGTGAAAGAAAGGGTTTTTAATCGTGAGTGTGATAGTGCTGACGAAATGCGCCAAAGGATCGTGGATGCTTTCGAGAAACTACGTACGGACTGTGTCGAAGACCACACGATGATGCCCCGCCTGCACCCAAATCTACCTTGAAATGAATGGAGCAAAATTTGAGCCGCATCTCATAAGACCACGGAGGATTTAGAGCGGTAAGCTGTTTCATAACTATTTTTTTTAAATAAGTTAGTACTAGACTAATCTGAATAGGTACATAACTGAATACATGAGAATAATAAACATACCTACACGATGAATAAAAACGCATGACTCCAACCTTGGTTACATTTCATTTAAGTATTTTTTTAATAGCGGGGAATCGAACCAGTTATTTGGGTTATTTAACCTGTAAATTCGGATTAAAGAGGCTACGTGGAGACAAGCACAGTGGCAAAATAGTAGGTTAAGTAGATAAGTTAGGTATTTAGACAAGTGTTGTAAATTATTAGTTATTATGGTATGGCCCGCTAGTTGCGGGCCGCGCGAATTTGCGTTCGCGCGTCCATTGACCTTTAGTCAGGTGATATCAATTCAGTCATTCCACTGCTGGTTTTATGTTTCAGTATTTTCATGATATTTTTTATGAAATTATCGTTTCATTTAGCTGTACTAACATGATGGCGCGTGAATAAAGCTAATAAAACGTTGTAAAAAGATGATTTTTTTTTCATCAGGATCGAATTTATTTGTGACCCATGATCAAAGGTATACTTGGTGTTGTCGCCTGTCTTAGTTTTCGGGAGCGTTCCAAAAATACCCTGTATATTGGAATTAAAAATTAAAAATTTGATTCGGGCAAAAATTTATACTGAACGTTTTTAATTCTTTTGCTAATGAAATGAAATCTTTCCTTCCTATTTTATGGCTTAGGACTATTAATTAATAAAAGTTTTAAATCTGTCTCTAAATTCAATATACACGCGAAATTTTAAAAATTAGGCCACGGTCAGTAGGTTACGTAATCAATTCACAATAACTATTGAATTTACAAAAAATCGAAACAAAATTTTTACTTCCTCGAATATAAACATAATTCTTATTACTTAGGTACTACTTACGCGACGTGTCCAGCCGCGACGTCAAAGTTTGAAAATACTTGCATAGGAATTCGACCAGTTATCCATGTTAGGCTATTATGACTAAGGAGCAAAGTCGTATAAATAAAAAAAAAATGCTTTGAAGTTCAAAGTATTTTTCATTCACAAATACGATTGAGTTTCTTATTACTATTGTTATATGGATCATTTTCCTATGCAAGTATTTTCATACTTGCAAGTATTTTTTGGTCGTAAAAAGGCGCCGTACTTTAAAGTGAAAACCTGGTATAGCGTAAATACGTCTCATTGCGACGCGAGGGACGTGTCCAGCCGTGGTGTCAAAATTTGAAAATACTTGCATAGGAAATTCACCTGTATTCCATGTTATCCTACTATAAATAAGGAGCAAAGTCGTATAAATAAAAAAAAAAATGCTTTGAAGTTCAAAGTATTTTTCATTCACAAATACGATTGAGTTTCTTATTACTATTGTGATATGGATCATTTTCCTATGCAAGTATTTTCATACTTGCAAGTATTTTTTGGTCGTAAAAAGGCGCCGTACTTTAAAGTGAAAACCTGGTATAGCGTAAATACGTCTCATTGCGACGCGAGGGACGTGTCCAGCCGTGGTGTCAAAATTTGAAAATACTTGCATAGGAAATTCACCTGTATTCCATGTTATCCTACTATAAATAAGGAGCAAAGTCGTATAAATAAAAAAAATACTTTGGGAGTTCAAATTATTTTTGTTCACAAATACGATTGAGTTTCTTATTACTACGAGTATTGAGATGTGGATAATTTTCCTATGCAAGTATTTTCATACTTGCAAGTATTTTTTGCTCGTACCAGGGCGCCGTACTTGGAAATGAATACCTGGTTTTAAAACCTGGTAGCGTAAATGGGTAAGGCCGTCAAAAATTCCACTTATAACACAAATGCAACACAGGAACTTTTATGTTACGATAACACAAATGTAACACAAAAGTAACCCAATTGTTTTGTAAAACTTGTTTCATATGGTCTTCTAAGGTAATAAAAAAGAAGAAATGAAATAATAATAATACATACTGGTTTTATTTTAAATAAAAAAAGATAAAGTTATCCGACGAGAGAAAAACCAGCTAAACTAATAAGGGCCATTTTTTGAATAGTTGGATTAGTTTAAGAGAAAATTATTTTTTTCCTGCCAAGTAATTTTTTTAACAATCTAGATTTCTCAGAATCAACTTAAATCACTTTAACAAAATATCTATGTAAAGTATACATAATCAAATTCCTCTTTTAAAAAGTATTCTTTTGCTTCTCCTCGTGATGTTAAATTTACACATTTAACTATTGAATTAATTGGCACAATATCTATTTCTGGTTTTTTCAACATTATAAATTTTAAGTTGGGAATCTTTACAGTCTTGAGAAAGCGTATTTTATAAAAACTTTCGTTATCCTTATTTAAAACTTGTATAATAAATCCGATGTAATACTTCCATTGTTTTCTTTGGTATTATCGGACTATAACACTAGCGTCAACTTCTAAGCCCATTGTTTCTTGAGCATTTGCCTCTTTAAAATTAGTTTTTATATTTTTAGAATCATCTCCAGTTTCTTTTTCAATCGCGCTTGTCTTTTCAACTATCTTAATTTTGCAGTCATCTGGAGTTTTAGCCATTTGGTTTTCGTTTGTATGTGTCTCATTTTCATTCAAGTTATTCTGTATGTGATGTATCTGAATTGGTTGTTCGGTGTTTACTGGATATCCTATAATAAATTCACGGTCAGTATAATCAATTGTGCAAACTTCACTGCTTGTTTTAGAAGTGGGTGGAATAGCATTGTTTTCTTTATTGGCATGGTTGATTTTTCTCTCTTCTGCAAAGAATATTTTACTCAAACGTAAATTTAAATGAGCCTTATTTTCTTCACTATGTTTTATTTCAGACAAAGGGGTAACTTTGTTGATATCTAATATTTCTGTCGTGTTGTATTCTTGCTGAACATCCTCCAGGTCTTTTGTTGGGGTTTTTTTATCAGTTTTCGTAACATATTGTGTTTCAACATAATTATTTGAAATTCGGAAGGGTTTTTGTATAATTACATTCGACAAAACATTAATTTTCTTCTTTGGATCAATGTATTTATGAAAGTGATTAGAACCTGATTTTGCATCAAAGTAGTCGACATGTGTAATCTCATCGAAATAATCCAGGTAAGTATTTCTAGAAACATCGGACAAGACATCCGATGCATCACTTTCAGCGAATTCAATGTCAGTATCCGATTCTGATGATAAGCTTAAACTTTTACGAATGCGGCGTTTCTTTTTTGTAGATTATTTTTCGTGTTTTTATTCGTTACAATATTATTTATTCGTTTTAAATTACATTGTTTTTGAGTTTTATTAGAAATACTTTCCGCGAAGTCGTAGTAAATAGGAAAATGGCATTCGCAATTCCCACTAGCATTTTCGCAGAAACAACTAAGATCTCTATACTTGAGTTTGTACTTTCCGCAGGTAATCAATTGATGGATTTTCATCGTCCCCGGTAAAGATGTCAGGTTGTAGACTATTGATGGATCTAAAGACTTAATTGTTTCAGCCGGTACATAAAAGAACTTGATTGTAGTCTCTGTCGATGACAAAGCATCATATGCAGCCTGGGCGTCAGGAATATCTAATCCCTGAGCTGTTTTCATGTCAAGGGTTCGCTTAATAGCACCTCCCACACCATCGGCTGCACCTTTACCATGAGCTGCTTAGAAGAACGACCAGGTACTATGACTGAATCCATAATCATAAATGTTTTGCGTAAACAGATAAAATTTCTTCTTTTGCCTGTATTGAGTTGTGGGTCCGTCAGAGAAAAAATGGATGGTATTTACATTTGTATAGGTAGTCTTAATATAATTTAAAACGGGATCTAGGTGGGCCCATATAGATTCTGGGTTGTGTTGATTATCAAGCGAAATGGAACAGAACGATTCTGGGCTTTGGTCTTTTATATATAGTACACCCGTATGTAAAGTGATTTGATCTTTTACAAAATGTTTAGCTTGAACTTCTTGGTGAAATTTACAAATGTAATTTTCTGAAAAATCTGTATGAATTATAGCCTCGTATTATTTTAAGTTTTCTCTACATAACTTGTATTGGTTGTATTGATAATAAAAGTTGAAGACGTGCCTTTTGAATGCTTTAATTCCTTTGTTAAATATTTCAAGTAATTCTTTGAAAGTTCCTTCATTTAAAGTTTTCGTCATTTTTTTTGCCTTTTTTACGTTAACATCTTTGCCATACACATATTCCTTTAAGGTCCACTTAAACCATTTTACTTGTGTCTCTAGATCTTTATCACCACTATCAATTTCTCTTTCAGAACATTCAGCGCAATCAATTTTTTGTTTTAAAATCGCATACCAAGTCTGATACTACGTCATTTAAGTTATTACTTTGAATTAAACCAAATGATTTTAATTTGTCCGCCATAAACTGCATATTCGAGTGCTTTATGCATGCGCAGCTCTCACAATCTTTAATGTTAGGAGGTACAACAAAGGGCGATATTTTTTAAAAGTGCTAAAGCTCACTCTTCCTACTTCAGCAATATACTTTTTGTGTAAATTTTTAAGTGTGTCTAGTAGGTATCTTTTTTGGTATTTCACTTTATGCTGTGTTATGTACTCTTTCTTGCCCGCCGTTATTCGGCTGACGTCGTCTCTTTTATAAAATGATACAATAAGTTCCTGTAACTGAAATCTCTTTTTCTGATATTCCCTGCGTTTTTTGTAACTGCATGTTTTTAAACCTAAAGAAGCCCTCATCTTTGTTGTCTGTTTATATTTTTTTTACAACGTCACTATTCACTATTCTCTTTAAAATATTCTTTTCAGTGTTGCTTGAATTTTTATATTCGCATTTAAAGGACTCTTTCAATAAATCATGTTCTATTAGTTTTTTCTTTATCTTTTCCTTCTTTGGTGTTTCTACATTTGGAATTACCGTATTTATATATTCACTGACTCTTTTAATTGGTGTCAATGCAGCAGTTTGACTAATTAAATTTGGTACATATACCTCGTCTGGTTCTGAAATCTTAATATTATCTACATTATTTTTGTATCTTTGGAATTTTTTGCGTCTGCAGTCCTATTATCTTCAAGTTTCATTATTAAAGTTTCATGCATTTTCTTCATACTATCAATATTCTTATGTTGTTTTGGAACTTTCTTTTGTAGGTTTAGAAATCTATTCACTATAGTTTTTATTTTTCGTCGTAATTGAATATTTTCTTTTTTAAATTTATATTCAATTCGGCGTTGCAAATTATGTATAGTTTTTAAATCTGTGAAATTTTTTGTATTTTCTTTCGAACTTTGCGTCACCATTTGCGATGTTGATGGCATACTTTCTTTTTCTTTATTGCGGTTCTCTCTCCATTTTTGTCTCAATTGTTCTTTTTGCTCTTCACTATAATTTGCAGTTTTAGCTCTATACTGACGCAGTGTTCTTTCACAATTCCTTTTCTTTTGTTCCTTAAATTTTTCTGAATTTGATATCTTTAACTTTTCGCGATATTGTCTTTGTCTTTCTGCAGCACTCATCGGCATTATCTATAGAGAAACAAAATTATTGCTTTTTACTAATGCAAGAAAGGGGATGAAAGCTTCTTATTATTGTTCGAACCTCCTTGCAAACAAAAACACTTTCGTATAAAAAAAAAACTAAAAAAACAGCCGAATACAAAGTGAAAAATAATTTTAGTTTCGGAAGTTGATGGCTTTGTTTCTTTAAAATTATTTTTTACTTCTAGTCGGTTTTTGTGAAAAAGTTTTTCATTTTTCACTTTTAGCTACCCACACGAATTCGTGTATCATCTAAATAGACAAGGTGGAATTAATATGTAATTGCAGCTAGTTACAAAAAAATCACTCAATCAAAGTTAGCAAAATTTATATATAACCACCGTGCGGGCTTCTTTTATCAAATGAATAAATAATCACGCACCGCAAATCACGAAGTAATCAGTGTACATTATATAGAAGAAAAAAAAACTCGTCGTATACTGTCATAACCTCCTCTTTTTTAAAGTCACTTAAAAAGTATTGTTCAACAAGTTTTAATGTATAGTTTCTGCTCTAAAATGTGATCGATTCGCGGATATTTGGAATAACCATAAGAATTGTAATCAATTTGAAGCCTAATGAAAAGTTGTTCAGTGTCGTAAGCATCAACTTAGGTAGACAAACATACAAAGAAACTATTTAAGTACAATCTAAGTAATTTTTCAATATGTATGAACCTTTATATTTGTTTTGTGTTGCGTAACACAAAAGTTTATGTTATGATACTTAACACAAAAGTATCTCAAAAGCAACAAAAATGCAACACAAAAGCTAAATTTTAAAACAGTTTTAGGTTATAATTTAGAAATTAAGTCAAATTTGACACTTATGCATGTTATTATGTAAATTGTAAGCGTGGGCGCATACAGAATTGGTTTAATAAACTTATAAATCAGTTACTTACCGGAAAATTGCTATTTAATTAACCACTGACGAAAACGTGACTCACTCTTTGACACTTCCTACAGACTACACTAGATGGTTGCCTTATTTCTTTTTTTTTCTGTTACGCAATACTGTGTTGCCATATCAATATTTCACCTTTACCTCAGTTTGTAGTAAGAAATAGGAGTCAAAATCCGTAACACAAAAATTTATAACACAAAAGCAAAAATTGTGACATCTTATCTAAAATATAATAAAACATGTAATAATTAAATATTTCCGCAACATAATCACATATGAAAGATGTTAAGAGTCTTATTTCTTACGATTAACGTTTAATTAATTTAATTTAAGAAAAAAATACCTCGTGATATAGATTACTAAATTTTATATCAAAAAACGACACCGTATCTTTAGACCAAAATTAGGAGTCCTTACTATTAAATGCATATATTTTTACGAACTTAAGTTAGTTAATATAGTTTTTTAATTTGGAACAGGTAGCTTATTAACTACATTGCAGATTTCCACCGTCAGAGAAGTTATAATGTTATAGTTTTCCTTGAAATCGATAAGGACATTTTGATATATTTTGCTTAAGACAAAAATGGTAATTTTGACGGCCTTACCCAAATACGTCTCATCTTTAGCTCTAGCTAGACCTAACCTCAATCGGAACGAATAAACTTCAACATATCATAACATAGTTCTAAGTTAAAAAACTAAAATTTCTTTCTACCTATGTGTTTATAAGTGTACCTTTATAAGTATTCTTAAAAATTGTTGCTGCAAATTCATTAATTACAAGAAATGGTACCTAAGTAATCAGTTTCTCATTATTCGAGTGCAAGTGTTTTAACTTAAATGTTATTGTTGTTAATGTTCATAAAGTATCTCATAGGTAGATATGTAGGTACCTATATTTTTTTTTGGAGGAGGGTGATTGAAGAGTATTAAGCTTACTGACCTAACCTAAAATCTTAGATAAATTCACACAATGAAATCAAGTGTATCGTCGTGACCACACTGATTTTAATGCTCTTTAAAATTAAATAAGAGAGCAACCAACAGAATGAATATAGCGTGCATAAACCTAAAAATAATCTTGGTTAAAGTTTTTAAAAGCACCTACCGAAAACTTCGATGCAAACTATTGCGCGACACAAAAACATTAAGTACCTACCTAATAAAAATTCGTTTAGGGGCATAAACTGAAGGTCTTTATGGAAAATGCAGTGGACTGTAAAACTACCTATATTATTATGTTCTTATGTAAGTACTTATAACTCATATGTTTACAAAAGTTTGTTGTCTGATGTGGGGTGTGTAAGGAGACAGTTTCTTTTTGTATGGAGAATGGGCCCACCACAAGTTTTAGAGAACCTTAATGAAATGCATGTCAATTTATTTATTATAATCTATAGATTACAATAGTAATATTAGTTTTACCGTATCTAATCGGAATACTGAGTAATTGGCAAATATGTATCTTACTATAACCTAATAACAAACTAAAAGCTATTTTCTATTAGTTTTCACCGGTATTACAAGTTAAAATAGTGCACTGTTCAATAAATAATAGTATAAAACAAAGTTGTAGTTACATTCAGCATTTATAGGTACTTTAAAATTGATGGAAAATCTTTTTAGTAGTTCCGGCAAAATAATATAGTGCATGTCTGTGCATGAATATGGTATGGATACTATTTTTTACATGTATTGTTTGTGAGTGTTCATCCCAAATACTGTTTAAGTAATATGATTAAAGCCAAGATGAGTCAGGGATAATATTATGTACATTTATAATATTACCTACACATGCTATATAGTAATAAAGATGTTTTGAACTGGTTGTATAAGGATAAAAACACAAGTTATAATGCATCTACATTTATAATAGTAAATCATAATTTCCAAAGTAGTCTATTAACAGTAGAACAAATAGACAGGCATGGTGTCCAAACTTTGTTTGAAAATATATTAACTGATTAGGTGAGGTTAGATACCTCAAACATTTTTATCTGTTATTACACACTGATAAATAGTGAGGAAGTAAGATGTTATAAATTATTTATGGAAGGATAATAAAACACATGTATAATTTAATTGTATTTGTTATTGTAAATCATTTCAAAATATTTTTTCTAAATATCATGATGATAACATGTCCATTTATGATATTGGCAGGA